CAGGGGTAAAGTGACGTTTGGGTTTCAATGGTCCCCAATCGATCCAAAGGAATCACATGCCGAAGGAATAAAACCAATGGCAAATGTTGAGAAGGAAAGAATTTAGCAGAGAAGTAGAACATAAGTGGTGCAGGAACAGATTTTTATTTTTATTTTTATTCATTTATTGGTTCGTTTGTGTGTTTTTGAGAAATTTTTTTTGTGTTTTTTTTTTATTTTTAAATGTCTGTATTTATCCATAAACTTCATTCATCCAAATGTGGCACGATGGGTTCTGCCAGAGGAAGAGTATCAGGCTTTTGCACCTAAGTGGTGGACCGGGATCTCCCAAGGTCCATCCATTCCACCTCCAATTAAAGAAAAAAGTGGACTCTACTTTGCTCATGGGAGGGAGGCTACTCTTTAATTCTGGATGTACACCACTGTTTGGATGAATTATTAGTGGATGAATTATTAGTGGATGGACAGATAAACTCTATCCCTTTTATATATGTATGTACCAATTATTACTGATTTTTAAGAATAAAATTCAATTCACTATAATGTGTAAGCATGGAAGTTTTATGATGTATGTATATATATATATATATATATATAAAAATATATATATATATATATATATATAATTCCTTTAAAATGTTGTATGCAAAACATAACATTTTGATAAACTTACATCATCGTATAAAAAATGTATTGTAATTTTTTAATTTCAATTTAAATTTGATTTCAAGTATTATCACATACATTTTTTTATTCTTTCTAATTTCGTTTTACCTTTTTTTTTTGTTGGCTTTCCATTACTCACTTTCAGTTATAAAAATTTATAAATATGTCATATAGTTTTAATTTCAATAATTTGGGAATAATTAATCTATATTAAAATCATTTAGTGTATGTGAATTATATTTTTTTAGAAAAACATGTAAAAAAAAACTGATTGAACCGAAAGGATTATTTGATAAGATTTGAAACAATGAAATGATGGTATTTTAAACTTGGAATTATAAATATCATTTTAATGATAATAAAATTATAATTAAAGTTTCATCCATCACAACTTCTTTATTTGATAGGATCAAATATACAAATTCAAACCACTTTAATAATATCCAATAACTATAGAATGAAATCATCTATAGACTAATCAAAAATTGAAAATACACAATAACTGTATCTTATTTAACAGTATAAAATATTTATATCTTGTAACAAAAAATTAAATATTTATATAAAGAATAAGCTCATAAATATGTAGTATTCAGTTACATACAAATTATCATTTTGGCAATAATGTATATTATTTTTTTCTTTAAATCCTAAACTTTAATTATTTTTTTTAAGCTTAAAATTTATAAAACTAGTTATTGGAAATTTAAATATAAATGTATGATATTATACCACTTATCAATACCAATATCACTTAATATTTTCAATATTACTTAATTGTATATAATGTCATTCTTATAATTTCTTATTACTAAACTAATGTTACATTTTAAATCAAATTATGTGTTTGATCTATATATTCATCATTTTTTTTGATATTTTTTTAATATTTATACGAATTTTTATATATTTTAAGAAAATTTTGAAATCTTATTTAATTTATTTTATAATTCTTCCATTTTTTATTTTTTTGTAGTTTAAAAAGAAATTATAGCCCTCCATAACTATTCAAAAATCTATTATAGTGTTTTCTAAATTTTACTTTAAAAAATTCTATATAGCTATAAAATTATTCTATAACTTTTATAATATCATCTAAGAACTTCTATTGGACCTTATAGTTATATTAAAAAATAAATAACCAAGAAAAATGACATCTTAAGTTTGCAAATATAAGTTTGGAATAATTTAAGTACTATCTAGTTACTAGTCTTGTATTTAGTCTTTCTACTAATCTAATATTGTATCTTTCTTCTTCCTCTTAATCTTTTATGTACATTGTCTTTACATCTTAGATATTTTATATAATGTAACTTATAAAATAAATTTAGTAAAAAATAAAATTTTAAATTTAATATAGATACCAATTATTTTAATTATTATGTTGACATAAATGCCAATTATTTATACTAGATATATATAATCTAAAAAATTTAAAGTGAGTTTTCATATCTTTTAATAATTCATTCAAAAGAATTTATTATTCATATATTTGATTATTGATTATTTTAATAATAAAATTGAATAAAATAATATTTATTTATTCTTTTAAATATTTTAAAATATAAAATATGATTAATTGATTCAACATTAAAATAACTAAAGTCAATTTTTTGTCTCTTAAAAGAACTATGCCTACATAATGTATTAATTTTTTTATAAGATAATTTTTTTTTATTATTATTATTTTTAATATTATTCTTATTCTTATTTTGTGATGAATAATTACAATTTGTGAACTACCATAGTAACAACTTAGAAATTGATGTCCAAAATTTTTTAAAATATCATGGTTCTTAATAAAAAAAGAAAAATAAATAAAGAAGAATGTCAAATAAATATTTATTTTATTTTATTTTATTTATATATATTTTAACCTACCTATCTAAACCATCATTGCACCTCTATATTTCTCATTGTGCATCCTTATCTTCTTTATTCCTAGCCCTTATTCTCATTGCTGTCCCCTATTTCCGAATCCTTGTCAAGTCTATGACAACAAGGGCCCAAATACCAACTTATGAGTCTATCCAATTTATCTTTGTAGTTTCCTTTGACATTGGATTGTATTTGCTAAGGAACATGAGATTTGTGCAATTAGAAGAGTGGTTTTTGGAACTCTATAATCAAATAGAATTATATTGTGCAAATTTTGATTTTTAGACAAATTTGATAGTCTTGAGCTTTTTAGGATTTGGGAAGAGAGATTGAAAGCACAGGACTTAGCTTGATAATTTTTATGTTCACAAGTCAAATGAAGTATTGCAAATTACTTTATATTATCTTTTATCTTATGTGACTAGCTTTGAAACTTTGATTATCTATAAATATCTTTAGACATTTTCTCTATCATGTATTTCTTATAGTTGTGTTTAATTGACATGTTACTATGTGGAGTTGGTTGTTGTCATTTTTGAAGCGTGGTTCTAAGATACTTGTACATATAATGAATTTTATCATAAACCTCAACATATTGAGATCCATTAAGATCCTTGAGCTCAATTTTACAATGTATTTTGAGGATAATCAATCGAGATAGCAAACTTGGCTACATAAGAATGGCCATATTTAGAACACTAATGATTCTTTGTTGATATATGTCATGCTTAATATAATGCTTATGAATACTAAGATTATATATTATTGGCTTGTGTATGTTTTTCTATCCATTCTTGTGATTTGATTTTGAATTAAGGCCAAATGTTATTTAATCATCGGTGAATGTACTAGTTGTCACTTTTGCTTGGCTAAGTGCAGAAGACTCAATTTTTTTCCCACTTCTTTGTTGATTTTTTAGAAGTGTTAGAATTTATTTCTAATGTTTTCATATAAATATTATTTTTGTCATTATTATTATTATTATTATTATTTTATATTTTTATTTTTCACAACTTTGTGGTGGATGCACCATGATTAACTATCAAGGCACACTCCACTCAATTGCCAAGCCTCCTTTTAGTTGCATTGCCACTTTGCACAATAATAAAATAAAAAAAATTGTGTTGCTTAAAAAAAGTGTCTAGATTTTCTCTATCTCGATTCCTATCATTTCCCCAATTGAAGCCTTGGAGATTATAGTTCCAAGCCTACAAGTCCAATAGCAACATCAGACCCCTATGCATTCATCATTCACATTGGAATATGGATGTAAGACAGAGAGGTGCAATGATAGTGTAGATAAGTGGGTTGCTTTAGTAAAAACTTGGATCTATTTAACATTCCTCCAAATAAATAAGCATATCTTTTAGAAAATACTAGATTTTGTTTTTGCTATTATTATTAAATCATCAAACACACATCTAACATGAAATAACCATTGAAATATTTCTTAAGAACCAGAACACTCATGTAGGCCACTTCAAACCTTATATGATAAGTCAAATATTAACACCACTATTAGATCCTTTTACTTTTCACAAATACCATGCAAAACCTACTTCAACAAACACAATGACTCTTTATCACACAACTCATAACTCTAGTGAAACAATAATAATAATAAAATTCATCCAAAAAGGGACACAAATGATCACCGAAAGGAGAAAAAAAGAAATAGACTCGCAAAACAAACAAGACTGAAGAAAGACAGAGGAGAAAATGAGAAAACATGTAGTCATGGAACCAATCAAATTACAAACAGGATAAAAAAAATAAAGAGAGAAAAAGGAACTTGATGTAAAGACAGGATGCACAGAGCAGGGGGATGGGGGGCAGGAATACCACATTGGGCAACGAAGGAAGGAAGGGCATCCATACATCCATACATCCATTCATTCATTTATGCCTTGCCAAGGAAACCACATGTGGGGATTAGAGTGAGAAACAGGGAGTGAGTGAAGTGAGTGAGTAAGTATGTAAGTGGGGGAGTAGGAGTGTTGCAAGATCGAGATACATTGGGGAGGGCAAAATGGGCAACTTAGTAGTAGTAGTAGTCGAAGAAGAAGGGGGGGAAAGATGGGCAACTGAACTGAACTCAACCCAACTAATCCACGTCGATTGTGAAAGGATTTTGAGGGATTTAGGGGTTGAGGGAGGGATTGGGTTGGATAGGCAGGCAGGCGGTGCACCCAGACGGTGCACGCCAGCGCGGACGAACGGAGGTAAAATCGCGGGTCAGGTCAGGTCACCCTTTGCTTGCGGGGCCAGATACCCGTTCCCACGTCATACCGTGCCGCACCATTCACCGCTGTACCCGCCCGTCTCTGCTTCCATCCTCGGCCACGCTTTCGGGTCCTAGAGAGAGAGAGAGAGAGAGAGAGAGAGAGAGACGGTCATAGGCGGTGGGCGAGGAAGAAGAAGGAGAAGGAGGAGGCAAGCAAGCGCGGGGGGGGGGGGGCCCGGAACAATAGGGCTTTTGCTCTTCCGTGTCCTCCATCCCTGCTTTGTTGTTTTCAAGCCTAAAACGGCAACAGCATCCTTGCACAGCTTCCTCGCTGCCTACGATCACCGCAATCGCACGGGCTGCCTAAGATCACTGCTTAGGATTTTCAATTGCTCTTCATTGCAATCGTTTGCTCACGTGCTCGTTGGTGAATGTGGTGCTCTGCTTATGAGAGCCGGAGTGCACCATCGAACCGTTCCTTTTGTGTGCGGAAAGTAGCTGAAGATTGGAGTGAGGAGACGGAGAGTGAGAGAGAGAGAGAGAGAGAGAGAGCGAGAGGGGGCGGAGTTGGCTCCGATGGTGACGGTGATACGTTTCAAGCATTGATTAGTTGCTTTGTTCGACCATGGACCTACTTCGATTGCGATTTCTTGACATCGCCGCTCGCTCTGCTTGTACCTGCTTGCCTTCCATGCAGGTTGGTTGGACACTGGTTGCTGGTGTCGGATTTTGGTCTCGTTTATTTTTTTATTTTTTTGAGAGTTTAGGGCCGTGCAGTGTTTGTTGAGTGCGCTCGGGGTAATTTGGAATTTGGCGGGACTGTCTGGTTGTCAGTTTGCGCGTGGACACCGCGTTGATGGTCTTGGTTCTGGATTTTTTTTGATTTGCAATTTCGAGGTTGGAGTCGCCTTGGAAGGTAGGAAAGGTGACGGAGAGAAGAAAGTTGCAGGGATTCTTAGGGGAAAGAGATCAGGTGAAGGGAATTGTTGTGGTTTGAAGAGGTGGAAGATCGACATCATTGTGTTGGCTGTTTTTGTTCTGTTACATTGTTGATGTTCATTTTCTCTGGATTTTTTTGTTTTTGAGGTTTGGGTTCTTTATCTCCTGCGAATAGGCTTTTTTGTTATTTTGCATCTGCTTGCACCTGCGCTTGGAATTCGGTTGTGATTTGATTGTGCTGAATCCTGGTGGTTGCGGAAAGTTAACAAGCTGCGCTCATGAGCTTAATCTCATGATATCTTTTCTATATTTACAAACATTAATATTCTCTTGAAAAGTTCGCGATTCAATTCGTATAGATAAATTATTTTTGTTATTATTGTTAATATTATTCCTGTTGAGAATGTAGGATGAAGCGGAATTGCGCATCTGGTGACAGTAGTTTTTTTTTTTTTTTTTTTTTTTGTCGATTGTACGGGAAGCTCTGGCATTGACGCTCGTGATAGGTCCAGTGTCTTGTTTAGAGTGATCGCTGGAGATATCTTTCGGGGCGGTTGCAGCACACAATTATCATTATTCGCTGCATACCAACGCTTAGGAATAGCAATTGCACTAATTGACACTGACAGCTACTGCAAAGAGTCAGGCAGAGTCATTGTTTACGAGGTTACTATCACAATGATTAGGCGGTATCAAACCAGATTAGAAATCAGAGTAGTATTTAAAATCTCGTGGTAAAATCTTGTAACACGATTAGGCCGAGGGTGTCGGGTAATCCATCTCCTATTGGAGAGGCGCGTTATAATGAGTTTACATTTGGAACTATACCTTGTATAATAACTCATTTTATTTTATTTGTTTTTTGTACTGAACATAGTTGGTCAATTTGCTTTTTGCAGTTCATGAAGTGGCAGGGAGCTTCAGCATGGCCGCGGCGCTCCACCACAAGATGATAGGAACATACTTCTCTTTTCCACATCCCTCGTGATACTGGTCATGGGATAGCTACAGTCGCACAAAGGCTGGAGAATAACTGGGGAGACGTTAAAATTGGAATCTGGAAAGTAGTGTTGGGAGAAACCACCCAGGTTTTTGCTGAGTTTCTGGCAAAATGGTTGAGGATTTGCTTTCGATGAGTGAAGTGGTGGGAATGGCGTTCATAGCTTGACGTGACTTAGAAGAAGTCTCACAGCAATGGCAGCGAAGGCTGCGATGGATGCAGCCCGACTTGCTGCAGTCATGGTTCGCGTGCACGGCCCTGTGAGTAAATTGCTCAACTGGCCAACTGTGAAAACAACCTGTACACGCAATCGTCACGTTAGAAATGCTTGATTTCTTGCATGACTTCCACCACATTCTGAAGCATATAACTGTGTCAAATATTACTTAAGTACAGATTATGCGCATTCTGGATTTGGATATGTGTAAGGATCGTTATTTTCTCTTTTATTCTTAACGTGCTTTCAGTTAGTTGTGGACACTTTTATGTTAAACTCTGAACAATGTTGCGATATCATCAGGATCCAAAGGGACGAAAAATGCGTCGGCATGCCTTTTTTCATTCTGAGTAAGTTTAGTTATCTATTCTCGTGTTGCAACTTCTATCAAATATTCTTTGAGGTGATGCAAACGCTAGATAACTCGAGGTAATGATTGGGTGATACTTGGTGACGCATCGCAGGTCTGGTGACACTACTTTGTCTGCTTCGGGCTTTCTCGTTCCTTGTGTTATGAACATGAAGAAACCTGGAAGTACGGCCTTAGGTCAGGCGGATCTGTACGAGACTACCTCGTCTGAACCCTCTGTGGTTGTCATCACCTGTGCATCTATCGTAGAGCCATTTCTTGCTCCGAAATCACATGGAATTTCATCGCGAGAGGTATGTGTTGTGCCAGAGAAGGTCGGTTTGCCATTGCTCTGCATCTTTTTGCAATGAAGTGCAGTGCCAATTTATTATGCATGATGTTTGATTACACAAAGATTAGGATGTAATCATAATTAATGAATATTTGATGTTATTATTTAGTTTATATATGTGGTATCTGGCGTTGCAGGATTTTCCCAAGTTGATCCGTGGGGCGGAAGTTGACATTCTGGTGGAGGTAAGTATGATTGTGGTTATTAGTCCAAGGTTTTTACCGAGATTATTATAGACTTCTTCGAACATAATTCTTATTTCTTACTTTTATGATGTTTTGGAGCTTAAAAGTTAATTCAAGGGATTTCCATGCCATTTTAGGAAGAGAATTTATTAAATTTTTATGTGTTCATAGGTGCCAGACCTTTCTGAAAAGGGCTCGGGTTATTCTGGAGAGCATTCAGTTTGCTGGCTGCCGGGTCAGCTACTCGCAGTGGTATGTAGAACAGCCCTGCATTATGATTATTCTGAAATTGCACCCAATTAGATGAATGCCCGGGGTGTTAATAGTCGACACTAGTTTTGTAATATTTATGTTAAATTTCAATGCACAACCTATTTGGAGAATTGGGAATCTGTGGGTTCATGTTATAGGTTGATGTTAAGTGTCTTTGGAAGTTTTTTTATTTTTTGTCAAATGAAAGATCGTTTTTCGGAATGAAATAGGTTGACGTGCCAGCAGCAGGAGCTGCCCTTCAAGATTTGCTGGATGTGCATGGTGGCAGTGTGAAAGGTGTGTGGGAGGTGGGCTGGGCCCTAGCTCCTGTGGAAGACAACGCCCAGCAACTGCATAGTCTCCTCACTTCAGAGATTTTAACAGAAACGCAACTTCAGGTTACAGATTATTACCTGTGAAATAGTATATAATAACTCTGGAGGCACTTAATATTAATCTCTAATCACTCATTACGGCATACTGAACTTAGTACTGGAGCAGCTGTGGAACATCAATCAAGATTGCAATAATGTTTGAATGTCATGTTATGTGTTGAGAGGTATTATTTAAACACAACACTTGCTTTTTGGTCGGTGTGTCTAATGTCACGTGCTGCTGCGTTATACTCATATAGGAGGATGTGGCTTCGCAGCATGACCTCAAAGGGGATAAGAGGCCCGTGGCACATGCTGTAGCTGGTGTGAGTAGATTAGGAATGGCTGCTGCTGCGGCAACAAAAATTGCAGTTCTTAGCGTTGGCTCACATGGCGACAGCTCTGCTCTGAACACCTGTCTCAAAAAGCGTCATCAACTTTCAAAGGTTTCCAATGGCCTTTCCAAGGTTGGTTGGCTATTTAGAGTTTAGTTGATATTCAGTTGACGTGGGTTGAAACCTTTTCATATTTTTATTTTTTTATACATTCATAGTATTTTAAAACTCAAGTTAATTATGCGAATGAATGGATGGATAAACGAATAAATGAATGAGTAAATAAATTCATTAATATAATATGAAAATAAAATAAATTTAGGAGGTGGATTTTGTTTGAATTCACATTTTTGTTAGTAAGGAGTGGAAAAAGTTGAGACATAATGAGTCAGAGCTGTTTGTTGTTGCAGATGCCCACTGGTCATGTCATAGCTGAACAGAAAAGGCGAGGAGATTCTCTGATAGCTGTTGGCTCTCCGTTTGGGGCGTTATCGCCTTTGCACTTTCAAAACAGGTAAGAGTTAGTTTGAAATGTATGTCACATCTGCACACTGCATATTTCTATTTGCTATGAATAATTGATAAGCTGACGTAACGCTCTGAGCTACTACCGGGCATACGTGGTTTTGCAGCATGTAGGTGCGAGTCGTGCGTCATATGAATGGGGTCAGGGATGGAAGGTGGCTCTTTGTTGAAGGTTTTCTTTGTGCTTATGAATGTTTGGTGGTTTGGGCGAACAGCGTATCTGTTGGAATTGTGTCGAACCTGTGGCCTCCTACAAGAGGCCCACCTTCTCTGTTGATGGCAGATGTGAGATGTCTTCCTGGTAAGGACTACACTTAATTCTACACAATTCACTTTTGTATTCATATTCAAGAAATTAAAATGTTTTGTGCTTATTGTTATTTTCGTATTTCTCTCACCTCAGTAGATGCTTGAATTGTAGGGATGGAAGGTGGTCCGGTCTTTGATGAGCGAGGGAATCTTGTGGGTATGCTCACACGACCATTGAGACAGCGAGGTGGTGCTGCTGAAGTGCAGGTGTGTCCGGAATTGAATTGAAGCACTAAGCTCTTTTGTCAGAAAATTTCATAATTAAGTTAATAAACCATTCTAATAATTTGTTATAATGTTAAAATTTCACTCCTTTATGTTAATTAGCATTACCAATTAAGAAGAGATACAAGAAAGGTGTCGATGAGTATGTAACGTACATAATATGCTTCTCGTTTAGCTTCTAACCCAGGACGTCACTCATTTTGTGGCCAATATGCACATGCAGCTGGTTATGACAACAGATGTTTTATTGCCTGTTCTTCAACGTGTCGGAATAAACGTTGGTGTTTTATGCAATACTAAGTCGCCAGATGTTCAACTTCAGCCGTCTGCATCTGCTATGCTCGTTGAAAATTCTTCATTTGAAACTCAGCCTTGTCGACCCGGGAGTATTGAAAGTCATTCAACTTATCAAGCTATGCAGTATGTTCCATCAGCTGTGGAGCGTGCAGTAACCTCAGTGGTTCTCATTACTATTGGAGATGGGGCATGGGCTTCAGGCGTTATCTTGAATAAAACCGGGCTGATACTTACAAATGCACATCTGCTTGAACCTTGGCGATTTGGCAAACCCAGGATGGTTCCATCACCTGTGAATGGAAGCATCCCCAAAGACAGTGGTTTTCCACTTAGTTGTGATGAGTCTCAAGAGGACCTTGCGCTGAATCAGTTACAAGAGGAAGAAATATCCAAGGGAGTTTCTACTTCTAGAACAAGCTCGTGGCCAACTGATGTGTCTCAAAAAAATTATCAGCGTATCAGAGTTCGATTGGACCATCGACAGCCACGATCATGGCATGCAGCCCGGCCTGTCTATGTTTCCCAAGGTCCGCTTGATATAGCACTGTTGCAGCTCGAATCGCCACCGCCTGGTCTTCATCCAATTACTCCCGACAAGGAATGTCCAACTCCGGGATCTACAGCTGTGGTATTGGGTCATGGGTTATTTGGACCTCGCTCGGGTATGGGACTTGACCACGGGAGTTAATCACAGTTTAAGCTTTTAGAGGAGTTCCATTTGTCAGTGTATCCCTTTGTTTTGAATTGGGTTTTGTGATTGGTTTTTCTTCAGTACAATTCCTGGGCATTGGCCCATCAAAGATTAAACTACAAACATCATTAAGGTTGAAGCTTTTTATTTTCTGTGTAGTTTTTTGAAACAAGTTTTATTTTCTTTCAATATATAGGTTGATTTAAAGTCACTCTGCGCTGTTTCCCCACTTTGCTGTTGATTTTGATATGAATTCTTTTTGTACAGGACTAAAGTTTACTTAAAAATGGTTTTTTGACGAGCACCTATGATCTTTGGTGCAGAGTTGCGGCCATCCGTTAGTGCTGGAGTTGTTGCTAGAGTTGTGAAGGCAGGTAGTAGTCCTTTCCTTACTGGGATAGGAGGCAGGAAGGAAGGGAAAGCCTCCAAAGCTGCAATGTTACAGACCACAGCTGCTGTACATCCAGGTGGCAGTGGAGGAGCTGTTGTGAGTGGTGAAGGTCACATGATAGGGTTGGTGACAAGGTAAGCACTTCAACGTTTTGTCTTGGGGCTTGACGTAGATACGGCATATATTAGAGATAATCTTTGGATTTCGGATTTAGCATGTTCAGTAATCATGAATTTGCGGCTTGTAAAACATGTTATTTATTTTTTAATTTCTTTGCAGGCTCTCAATATTGTTTTTATAGCGCGACATTGAACCTTGATGATTATGTTGTATTGACAGTAATGCAAGGCACAGTGGAGGGACTGTCATCCCTTTCCTCAATTTCAGTGTTCCTTATGCAGCACTGGTTCCAGTTTTTGAGTTCGCCTCCTCGGGTAAGTTTCAACGCTTTTAATGAAAATTAATAATTCAGTCGTATTACGGTTTTTGAACTATGGCTATGATTTAGTTTGTTTGTACGTGAAGGTTTGAATTTCTGTCTATTTGGGTTTTACCGGTGCATCCACAAGTTTTATGACTTAGTATTCTTGTTATTGGTTTAGACTATTTAGTGCCTTTCTCTTAACTCAGTCATATCTCTATTGATAATTGCGATGAAATTTATTCCTAGATGGTGAATATCGATTTGATTCTTTATTTTTATTGGATAAATCTCAACAATAGCAACTCATGAATTATTGTTGCTTTCTGCAGCTGATTCTGATTGGAGTCGTCTGGAAGAGCTTGATAAACCTAATGATCAACTGGCTGCTGTATGGGCACTTGTGCCACCTACTCCCCCGCGCCCATCCCCTCCGCCTTTCTTCAGGCGACACCCACGTGTACCTGTTTCTCAGGAGATAGATCCGGACAAGGGTGTACCGAAAGGTTCCCGCTTTGCTGAATTTATTAAAGAGAAGGGAGGACTTGATTGGAAATCGCCAAAATCATTGCCGCCACCATTGCCAGAAGAATCACCCCATCGGGGATCTCCACCCTGTCATTATGAAGAACCCAGTTACGCTGCTCGGGCTTCTTTCCCAATCCATAGTCGGCTTTGAAATATGGTGGTACGACACATCTTGCGGGATATGTAGGTTGCCCCATGAAAGAATGCTATGTGGCATGCAAGGATTTCCAACTTCAATGATGAACAAGAATACTTGGGGAATGTAGCGTGGTAGAAGTGAGTGTTGAGGTTTGTACCCAAAGAATTGTTAGTTGCGTGTGTGGAAATGTTTGGGATGATGCATCATGGCAACCATTGGGAAGGTTGGATGTGTTCGCATTAATGCCGTGATTGTCTGCAAAAGCTGTTTGAGTTTCAATCAGAAACAGGGCGTGTTTTGTTGGATGAGCCAAGTGCCTATCAAATCCCTTGAACTATGTTACTTAGCTGAAAAAAAGGGTAAAAACAAGTGGATGATGTTTTCTTTTTGTTTTTTTTCCCTTCTACTGACAAGAACATGGCGGGTTGGAGCATTTAACCTGGTAAAGCTTACGGACTGTCTAATTGTAGAGTGTTTTTGTGCAATGTATGAAATCAATTTTAGAATTTTTGTTGTTCATTCATTTCATATTTAGGAATTGATGTGATAATAAGGAAAAAGTAACTTATCTATGCATGTTGGAGGGATTTGGATATGATTTAAAAGTATTGAGATCGAAATGGACAGTTAGCCACAAAATAAATAAATAAAAACTGTACACAAGTAATTGTTGTTGAAGTTATTAGTGCACAAAGGTGTTTCTTTTTTAAATTTGAGCTGTGGTGAAGTAATAATCTTTCTTGTAAATAAAAAAATACTATTAAATTTATATTTATATAATTATAATGTAATGTAATATACAAATATCCAATAAAAATATTTCATGTAAAAAAACATTTGATTGTTGTAGATTGTTGTTTGAATTTTCATTATTTTGTTTTTAATTTCAACCACCAAATGCAAAAAATAAATTAATTTATCTAATTTTTTAAAAATAGATATTAAATTCTAATTTATCTATTTTTTTTAAAAAATAGATATTAAATTAGAATTTATCAAGGGTATATTTTAAAATTTGAGTAATTATTAGAATTGAATAATTTTATGTCATTTCTAAAAGGCACTTTATATTAAAATTTATTGTCTATTTGTGACATATGCAAGGTTATAGAATCATACTTCTTTATTCTATAATTGCATTAAATTTAGAAGTGTCATTATCTACTATCCACCGTCTACACAAACCTTATAATTCTATATTAAGGTTTGAGGATTAATTGTTGTGAATAATTTTGGATATTCTTAAATTGACCTCTATTCAAATTACACTATTGTTACATATTAGACCTACATATATTAAAAAATAATTAGATATAATTTAAAATATTCAATTTTAATCAAGGCTAAATGCACTAATATCAAGGACGTGAATCACAAAGAACCAAAGAGTTAATGCATTCTTGTGTCACAAGAAAAGAGTAGATAATCACTTAAAAAATAGTATAATATAAAAAATAGAATGGCTATTGCTAAAGACCAAAAGACTAGACTCTTGAAACAAGACTGAAAACAAGAAAGATGTTGAGGAAAGTAAAGAATGCCTTACTTTTGTCTCTATATATACTATTTAACTAAAAATTACATGGCAACATTCTATAAAACACATATCCAACTTGTAAAACACACGTTTAACTTACATGACAAGTTCCTATGTATGTACGCTACATGAATAACTTGTACCACAAGTCACCAATATGTACAACACATGGCCAACTTTTTAGTCCAATTTTTAACCTACCAATCACCTATAAACATATATAAAATCAAATCCATGTTTATAAAGCTTTCCTACAAAATATTAACAAATTTATTTACTTGAACTTACTTCTATTTAAGTGTGTATGTTTGTGACAACTAGACACATCTAAAGAGGAAAATCAAGTCAAACATAGCAAAAGAAGAAAAAACACAAGAATGTTCACAATACACACGAAGACAAACAAATTGCAATCCAACACGGCAACACAAGGATGTTAAGAATAAATTGGATGTTCGTCATCCATATTAACGAGCACCTACGTCCATCATATTTTATCAAAAGTTCGATGTAACCGATCCCAAATCCATGAACCGGGACACAATGAGCCACGAGCAACAGCTCGACGCTGCCCTAGATTTCCACGCAAAACGGCATCGGAGCTTTCACGAATTTTCCATGTCTACATTGCTCGGCGGAATCTCTTCCTATTACTGGTTCGGTAAGTTGGTTTACTTTGATCGCAATTCCTCAAATTTGCAGACAGTGGTTTGCAGTGAACCGTTCAAGTTGCCGTGATAGACTGCTTGAAGTTCACGGAAGACTAGCTGATCTGTGTCTCGAGGCTTCAAGAGGCTTTAGGACTGATTTCTCTTCTGTTTGTGAAGATTTTTTGTGTGGAGATGTAGCTCTATGAATATGGTCCGGTTTTGGGATCCAGGAGATAGATTCAGTTGGGGTTGAGATGATCCAGTTTTGTTTCCAGGTTCCTGGGGCTGATTTGGGTGGAATTGAATGCGAAGATGAATACAGAAAGGCTCTTGTGTGTGTATGTGTGTATGTGTGTTCATTGTTGGCTCATTTTTAAACAGTTCAAACAATATCTTCAAATCGCCGTACTTGTTATCGAGAGCGCCAGTTTCATGGGATCCTATTTCACATTTTCTTTAGAAGTTGCTGTCAGGTGCACAGGAGATCTGAGAATCCATTATACGTGTTCTATCTCGAGGTTGTTAACTCAAATGAGTATCTTCAAATAAGAGAGTTTGTTCTTTCCTGGTCTCCCACTCCAGTATTTGTCATGGTTATTTTTTATGTGGCATATCTAGCTGTATGTCTATCTACTAGCGACTCATTTCTGATGCAGGCGTCAAATAGATTTAGTTTGCAAGAAACTCTTACACGAGATACTTACTGGTTACACTGCAACTTTTGAACTGGGCTAGTCAGAGCGCATGATGCTACAATTATACTAAATACCACAATCGTTTTCTAATTTAGAATCTCATCTGTGCAAAGGTGCAATCGAGCAGCTACATTTTCTGATGCCAGTGCTTCAGGTTATGCTATTCAACAGATAGCACGAGCAAGTCAACCTTCAATTTATACCGTGCGCTTGTATTACCAGTTGTAATGTGGATATAAATTCCTTGAATTTTTGCATGACTCTAGGCTGATGAATTGCGGAGTAGCAGTACCCAAGTTTGCTGCGATTCCACCGGAGGTGATTCCAATGCTGGTGGGCTTCTTCACATAGAGAATAACCACATTTGTAGAAACTTTTAAACAATCTCCTCCACAATTAGAAGAAGAAAGTGCTGCATGAAAGATCAAAATGAATTGATGCAACGATTTATCTATTATTTTAACGATTATTGTTAAATCTGTATTTGTTATTTCACCCCTGACAACCATTCTGTTCCATTCTGTGATTATATTTCATGGTCCAGTAATTGCTGCATCACTTCTATATTTCCCCTATTGGGTCCATGATGATCAAGAATAGGTTTGACACATACGACCATCAGTTTAAATACTTGGGTACCTCTCGCATCAATTTGGATACAGTACATACTACTGTTAGGCTCTGGAGCTGCAAGCCCAAGAGGAAGTGCATGTCAAATTGCATAGCTGCAGTAAGCAGAAAGTACAGAATCTCATGCAAGATATGATTCTTAGAATAATATCCGTTCCAGTTTCAGATGGTGGAGCTTGTAATAATGTGCCTCATACTTCTACAGAATATATTACACCTAGTACAATTATTTTCTCCTGAAGCGCTGGTCTAAGTCGGACGAGGTATTGACACCCTTTTCCAGTGATAACTATCGTTTCACGTCTTCTGTTGCAGAAAGATAGAGAATACGGGGCTCATTGTTGCATCATTTGAAAGGGCGCTGACATGAACAAACTTTAATACCATATCGTGAGGTGTCAAACAAGCTAAGGTTGTGTGTGATAGTGGCCATGTCAGGGATCGTCACCGTGTATGCCATGATCGTCGCATTGGCAGAGTCATTGAACATTGTGCTACATGGATGATTTCTGGCAGCAAGAAAATGTTAGTCTGTAACATCCAGGTACAGATGCCTGCCCACTCGATTGCACGGAATGTACGAAGATCAACTGTATTGCAGGATTGGAATTGTGAAATATTACATCAGTAGCATCTTCGTTATTTCTGACATGGCAGTCATTGCAAAAGTCTATATTTCCACGATATGGGTGTGCACACTGTTCATATTATCTCGCGAAGACGTCAACAATGCGCAACAACTATACCGCAGAGAACCGAGCCTAGTGAGAAACCGAAAACTTCAGGGTGTCTTAGCCGAAGCATCTTGTCAGGGAAAAAAACATTCAGTGGCATCATAACCAACATTGAGGATCGACTACTGCAAAAGCTTGCCAATCAGAAGGACTCTTTCTAATCGCGCATTCCGTGCAATCGTGTGGGCAGGCATCTGTACCTGGATTATCAATCAGTGTCGCTATACAGCCAATGAGCAAGCTGAAGTGAAGTCCAGACCTGGTGAATAATTGTCGTCAAGTTCCAGCATCTAATAGTATAAGTAAATCCGCTAGTTTTAAATAAAGGAGGGGAAAATATAGGCAAACGCCACTTGCCTCATTTGTGTGCAGTCTGCAAAGAAATCACGTTGAAGTATTGAACAAAAAAATAAGGGACTGCCCATACATGGATTGCAACTTGACCATGACATCATCCTTGCAGGCTCATCAATTCCCTCAATGCTGCCCAGAGTGGTGATGATAAATTGCGCGCCATACTAAATGGTAAGCATGTAATATTTCCTTTGAACTTGCGTAAAAAGAATATTTTGTAGAACTTTGAGTACCTATGTTGCTGTCAACATGGTGATGAAAGAGTGCTTTGTGAATAGGCTTTACATAACCTAATCACTTTGTACCGGAGTTGAGCAACTCGTTTAACGTCTTTACTCTTGAAGTTTCCATTGCATCGACACTCTTCAGGCTGACCTTTCAACATAATTTTAACTATGAGAGCTCACGCAAACGGAGCCTCATATCCTGGGGTAGTTTCAGATGTTTGTGGCACCTTGTTAGCGCTGCTCATGAAGAAGCACGACCTGCTCAATGCGTCAATCAATCGTTGCCTTGTCATCTCTACTACCGAAGATGATTGCGTCCTTTATTTGATTCTCTAAACCAGAAATATAGTTCATGTTGATGAATACGAGATATCTCATATGCAACTTGGCACTCGGACCTGCGAAAGCACTTCAGTAGAATCTTGAAACAGAAGTGTGCAATTAGTAAAACGGGTTTCATACCAGATGAGCAGTTTGAGCATGAGTTTGTCAGTACAAATGTGTATGAGGTGTTGAGACAAGGTGGAAGAAGCTCAACTTATTAGCGACTTCCACAGTAAGGCAATCATGGGTTAAAAACATTCTAGGTATACTTGAAAAGGCTCAAAAAAATACAACTA